TAACATCATTGCTATAAAGATTAATAAAATTTTTACTACATAATATTAACAAGAACTACTTTTGGGATCAGTTCCAGTATTATTATTATTTATGTTGATTTATTTTGCATTAGATTCAGTTAATTATCATTATTATTATCATCATTACTACTGTTTTAATTTTGATTGTATTTTTACTTTTTCTTATTAGTTTTTTTGTTTCTTTTTCTTTCTTTTCTCATTTTTTTCTTTTTCTTTCTGGCTGGCCATGTTTCCTTGGTCAGGCCTTTGGTGTTTCTTTTTATCTAGCCTCTTAACTCTATTCTCATTGCCGGTCACTGTAAAGGTAATAAATTAATTAATACATAAATTGCTGATGCATGAATATAACAATTGATTATTATAGTCTACTAGATATAATATTATTATTAGTTTTGAACAAGTATAAAATTAATTCAAGTTGATATTACAAACTTTATCAATACAATAAACAATACAATAAACTACGGCCTCACTGCATTGTATTATTATGACTCAACAGATAGTAGATCTATCTCCATAAATAAAAATTATATTTGTCACTGAAGTTCTGTATGTTGTCTAGGCCATCATGGAGTTTGCTAGCATCATAAATACTGATGCTAATCATGCTAGCATAGATATCTATGCTGCTAGGTCGGTCAGGTCCGTGGTCACTAACGCGGGTCCGTACTTTAGTCTTTTCGGGCCCCTTGGTCGGGTCAATAAATTAGTTTGTATCGGGTCCGTCGCTCGGTCCGTAAATTAGTCTTTTCGGGTCCGTTGGTCCGGTCCGGTCCGCTTTTTAGGGACAGCCGGTAGGGTCTCAAAAGCGAACGGACGGGTAGGGTATAGATACTATATACCCCTAGATACGAAACTCCTCTATGCACACATATAAAATCCCATAAGGAAACGTCATAAACGTCACATCCGGCTGTCCTCGCCCGTGTTTCGCTGCATTCATGGCTGCCAGGGTAAGTAAAACAATCACAGTAGCCTATTGCTATTCGTTTGTTAAAGTAGCTGAATGATCCCTCAGAGGACTTTGCAAAGCCTTTATATATTGAAATAATGCTCATAAACGATAGTTTGAGTGCATATTTTAGTTCTACAATGGATGTCATAGCCTACTTGTTGTGTACATTTCACTCAAGCCACTTTTTTAGCTTAACTCTGTTGAATTAGTCCAACTTTTTTATTGCACTGATAGGTTATTGTTTACTAGTTGTAGTGGGGCTATTATTTAGAGTTTGTGTTAAGTAAAAGAGCTGTTATTTTCTAAATCTTGGTTTTTCAAGCCCCACCTTTCTAGCCAACTTTTCTTTGTAATACTTGACTTAATTGGAACTTTTTCTATATGGTTTTGTAGCTTGAGAATAGGTAGTTGTAGTGGGCCTATTCTCAAAAGGAGTGTATTTTTAGTTTTGGTGCAATTGTGTTGTCAAAATCATCATTTTTAGGTGACAAGAGATGGGAAAGTCATGCATAGGTAGACTGCATATACTAAAAGAAAAGGAAAGTTTCAGCAATTATAATGCATGATTAATGTCAAGTTTTATTGTATTATTGTACATAAAATTACACTTTTATTAGCAGTAATAATACTTTTTATCATTGTTTTATTTTTATTCTGAATGAAAAACGTAATATGACGTATTTCCGGTGAAACAAGCCTCAGAACATCCGGTCGGGCCGTGTTTCATATCCAGGGGTATATTGGGAGTAAATTATCAATTTCTGGCAACCAGGTATTATCGGACGCTATTATTGACACTGCAGAGCTAGTAATGCAGGTGTTCTAGGTATCAAAATGTAGCTAATTCAACACTCTTTTATACATCTTACCAGCTGGATGATCAAAGATTAGATAGCACCACGGCAATTTTTAGAAGACCATTGACCGACATTACGAATGGTCGGACGATATCCTGCATTTTCGTAGGTGGAAAATTTCTACGCAGAGAAAGCATCAATCAAATGCTAACTGCACCCATTGAAGCACTGGTCCTTGGTCTACAAACTAGTGCAGTTGTTGCAAGAATTCTTACTGCTACAGAGAAAGTAGGAAGCATCATAGAGGCATGATTGGAGTGCTGTTTGATCGGCCACGCCTATAATTTATTATCATTGTTAATAAAAGTTTATTATCATTGTTCATTAATCATTAATGACACTGAAATTCCTCATTACAGGTATTAGAGCAAAACCACAATCCTCTTGGTGCTGTTTTCATCTTAACACACTTAAAGTGAAACCATTGGCCATTTCTGCAATTTTTATTTTCACAATAAACCATTTGACCTTCGTCTTTCCCACCACAAAAGCAATAACCTAAGGTAAATTTATAAATGACTATATACTCAAAATAATACTCACCTTTTTCATCATCTACATTATCAGTATCCGACAAAGAAGAAAGAGAACTACATCTACTTATAACAGATGAATTACCTGTAAATGATATAATAATTAACAAGTTTACAATTAGTATTACTATTCTTACTCGCATTTGTAGTTTTACCACCTCTTGTATAACCAGGTTTACTATTAAGAGGTGATGAGTCACCTGTAATAATAACAATAAACAAATGATACCAATTAGTATTTAATCTTACATGCACTAGGAGTATCAATAGTTCTACAACTTCTTCTTACTCTCCCACTACTAGTACAAGAAGGCTTACAGGAACTATTATCTATAAAGCATAATGGTAACTAATAATGATAGTAAAATTAATATGTTACATGGATTTTTGCGTCTTGCTATCCTACTACTAGGAGACCTTTTACTCAGAGCACAAGAAGAGCTACCTATTAATATATGAACATAAATAACAGGAGTCAGTAGGCCATTAGACTAGCTCAGAGGCGGATCTATGGGGGGGCCAGGGTGGGCAAAGCCCACCCAAATATTTTGCCCACCTCAATAAAGTATTATTGAGTAAAAGGCCCACTCAAATTAATGATTGTGGTCATTGTATAAACTGGCCCACCCTTAAACTGTGACCACTGACCACATGTACAACACTGGTTGTATGATAATTATTGTAGTGACTAGTAGTGAGCAACTTAGAATTACAGCTGTAGTTTACTATTAATGGTAAAATATGTCCAGGAGAAAACAGCTGTAAGAAGTTGTTTCTAAATGGATCCGGAACTCTCTGTGTACTATTGTAATTATATATTATGTGTTTATTCAAGTATATTCTAGAACAATCATGTAAAGTATTCTTGTATGTTATAGAACCTTCTGGACGTTTATAAGATCTACTGTATATAAGTGTGTTGTTTGTGAGTTTTAGTTTGTTGTGTTAGTTGAGTTAGTTGTGAGTTTCGTGTTGATTAAGAATAAAGTTTGGTTAACAGATAGTTGGAGCGTCTGTTACATTTTTTGGTGGCAGCGGTGGGATAGTTCTCAAACGGTTGTAGAGGAAAGACCCACTATTGTATCTCTGCAAAAGAGAGAGACTAAAGTTTATAGTGTCTGGTGTGACTGTTTATGTCGGATAACAGTCGAGAGAATCAAGGGCGGTATTCTCTACGGGACTTACCAAGACACGACTACAGAAGACAGTTGCGAGGATTACATATTTTCAGAGAGAGTTAGAGTCAGCAACCTACTATCGCACACCATCGATAATCGAACACTTTTTCTCACAGTTCAGTGATCAG